TTGTGGGCAATTTTTTTTTTAAAGATTTATTTATACACACAGACTGGGGTACATGCCAGAGGTGCAGGGGCCGTGACAGGACTCACCAGAGACAGAGTGGGGAGCATAACAGGCAGATGGATGTAGTACACCGCTGAGGGGAGCAGCGGGAAGGTCAGGAGAGGTCTGTGGTGCCATGTGGATCACCTCTGGTGTGGGGATCGAACTGGTACTGAAGTGGCTATAGCTTATTTACAGTGCTACATCACAACCCGTTGCACCACCAGGGAGGGCCTGGAAAATTATTTTTTAATGAGAATACATCTTAATGAGAATATTTTTGTCATTGTATTATTTTATTGAGGAAACTGTTTTACTTCAATTTTTATTGATTTACACTGGTTTACAACACTATGATTCAGAGGTATAGGGTCACATCTTTTCAGATGTTACCTTACTATACCCACCAAAAAGAAACAGGTAATTTCAAGAGTTATTTAATGTTTTGCTATGTATGAATGATCCAGTTTTACTATATCCTCCCAAGATTTGGTGGTGTCTATTAGAATGGCTAAAGTCAATCACACACACACACACACACACACACATATATATGGTGATATGTGGAGTAGCTCATTGTGGAGTTGGCAAAATGGTTATTACCCATTTTCTAACTGGATTGCTTGCTTTCAATTTATCAATTTTTAGCTTATATACTTCAAATATGAGTCCTTTATCAAATATTTGGTATGTTTATTTTCCTCCAATTTGTCTTTGTCACTTGTTTTTATTCCTCTGTCTTTCACAGAGCAAAAGTAGTAAATTGTAATTATTTTGATAATGTCCAGTTTTTTAAATTTCTCCCCGTTTGAGGAGTCTCCTTTGTGTGTCAAGGAAACCTAACACTAGCTCTTGAGTTTTCCCTATTTTTTTTCCTTAAGTTTTATAATTTTACATTTAATTTCATTCTTTTTTGATTTTTTTTTCTTTTGCATAAGATGAAACTTAGTGAGTTTTCCTTATGGGAGTTTAATTTTTATAGCTTCATTTGTTAAACAGTCATTCTTTCATCCATTAAATTGATTTTGCACCTTTGTTAAAAAATAAGCTGGGGTTATTTTTATAGGTCTATTTCTAGTCCTATAGTTTGTTCCATTTATCTCCATCTATCCTTTTACCAACATCATACAATTTTGATTAATATAGCTATATGTCTGATTACTGTAGCTATGTTTTCAAAATAGTTTTCGCTCATCTAGTTCCTTTGTCTTTTTATATAAATGTTACAATAATCTTACATACATTACAAAGTCTTTCTGGATAACTGTAGGAATTGTTTAATCTTTGTATCAGTTTGGGGAGTTGACATCTTACAATCCGTGAATACCATTATGTCGAAAATGTACACTTTTTGATTTCTTTCACCGTGTTATAGCACGAGCCCTATATTTTGTTAATTGTAAATGGCATTTTATTTAAGTTTCACTGGCTGTGTGTTCATTGCTAAACTATAGAAATACAATTGACTTTTGTATATTTGCCTTGTGCCCTTGGTGAACCCTAATATATACATTATGTACATTGTGTATAGACTATCATGCCCTCTACAGATAATTTTTCTACTTTGTATGTCTTCTCTTGCCTGTTGTATTGACTAGAACTCCAGTTATGCCAATAAAAAGTGGCAAGGGTAGATGTCCTTCCCTTGTTCCTGGTCTTGGGGGAAAGCATTTAGTCATTAACCATTAAGTGTAATGCTTACTGTGGGATTGTTGGATACTTTTTATAAAGTTGAGGACATTCTCCTCTAGTTCCTTTTATTCTGATAGTTTTTATTATAAATATGTGTTCAATTTTATCAAATGCCTTTTCTGTGATCCCCCCTTTAGCTTGTTGATAAGGTAGTTTACATTGACTTGCAAATATTGAACCAGAATTGCATCCTAGAAATAAACCCTGCTTAGCCCTTATTTGCTTTATAGATTGTTAAATTACAATATTTTGTCATGGATTTCTGAATCTAGTTTCATGAAGGATATTAGTCTTTAGGCTTCATTTTTTTTTCTATTTTTACCTGATTTTGGTATTAGGTAATTGGAAGTGTTCTATTTTTGGAAGAATTGTCTAGAATTTAGTTCTTTAAACATTTGGCAGACTTCTACAGTGAAACCATTTCGGGTATGTGTGTGTATAATAAATAAGTTTTGATATTATGAACTGCATTTCCTAGAGCTTTTTTATTTTTCTTGTTTTCAAGAACCAGCTATTTGTTTGAAAGATTTTTCTCTCACATTTTCCTGTTGTCATTGATAAATAATCCCATCTGTATTTCTTCCTGCTTGCTTTGGGTTTATTTTCTATTCTTTCCCTACATTCTTGAAGTGAGAGCTTCAACAGTTGTTCTGAGACTTTTTTGTTTCTTTTTCTAATGTATGCTTTTAGTGCTATAAATTTACTTCTTGACTTCACCATAAATTTTGACCTGTTGTATTTTCATCTTCATTCAGTTTAATGTGTTTTGTGATTATATCTTGGTATGTACTCCATAAAACAAAAAAAGAATGTGCATTTGAATAGTGATCTAAAAATAGCCTATGTTGGTTACTGTTATAATGAATTATTGATAGAATGATTTTAAGTGTCCATTATATTCTTATATATATATATTTTACATGCATTATATCATTTAATCTTCCTACTAACCCAACATACGGTTATTTTTCTTACTTTATTAAAGTTCAGAGAGGTTAAATGATTTCCCTACCCAAATCATATATTTAGCAAATGGTAAGACTGGCACTTCAACATAGAGCTGTGTGACTTCCAAAAGTATATATATATATAACCTCTATGCAATCTGTTGGTTCAGAATTCTACAACTTGATTGGTTCAGAATTCTATAACTTGATAAAATATCCTCCAGTTCATATTTGAGTAAGAATGCAAAGATTATAGTGGTAATTGTGGAGAAAATTCCATTTGGATGTGGTTGGCAGTCTACAGTAGATGCCAAAGACTTCTGCCTCTTGGCACTCACGCTCCCATGAATACCCTCACCTTTCATATCTTATGGACCTAGTGATTCACTTCTTAGGTTAAGTTATAGAGCCTGTGGTTTCCATCTTTTGCCCTGATCTTTCTTACTTCCTCATCCCCTCTGAGGGAAGCTAGATGCTATATGTGAGTTGCCCTGTAAAGAAACCTACGTGACAGGAAGTTAATGTCCTTGGTAGTTGGAGACTAGTCTTAAGTGATGATCCTCCTTCTTGCTACAAAGTCAACTACCTCTAATTGACAACTATCATACATGACTTTTTCTTTTTTTGTGATTACACTATGTCCTCCTTTTCCTTGGCAATTTAGCTTGAGCTATAGGCTGTTGTATATGGCTGTACAGATTGCATACTGCAAAAATCCAGGTGGTACCATTCACTCTCAGGTGACTTTTTTTTAACATAAATATAACAATATAAACATACTTTTATTTGGGAGTTTTATAGATGCAAATTTCTACAAATGTATATTTTCACATACTTCCTACACTACCACTCTTCCTCTGTACTGTAGTAGGATGGTAAGAGTTTATTATTAGTTTGGTTTTGACTGATGCTTTTTTTCTCTATATTCCACACATAAATGGGACAATCTAGAATTTGTCTTTCTACTTCTTATTTGACTTGAAAATGGCAAGAGTCCATGTTTTAAAATAGCTGAATAGCACTTCATATATATATATGTATGTGTGTATCTATATATACATATATATAGGTACACACATTTTTTTTTCACCCACTCCTCTGTTCCTGGCCTTTTCTCATAACAGCTATTTTATATAGGGCTGCAATTAGCATATTCCTTCAAATTAGAGTTTTTGTATTCTTTGTGTAGAAACCTAAAAGTGGAATTGGTGGGCTATATGACAGATCCATTTTTAATATTTTTAGATATGGAAAACAGGCTTCCCAACATGCATGCATGAGGTCTCCTTTTTCTGCACGTCCTTACCTAGACTTGCTGTTTGTCTTTTTGATATAGCTCATTCTCATATGGGGTTTGACACGTCATCTTCCAGAAAATATAGACTTAGTAAGCTCCAGGTGTTTTTACATTTAATATAAGGGTGGTAGAGTTAACAATTCATTAGCTTTTGATTTTGTTGTAGCAGGATGAAATGGTGTTTTGTGAATTTAAACTGCTCAACAGATCAAATGGAAACAGCTTGAAAATTTTATTTAACAATATTCATAAAAATCAAGCATTTTATGGGTTTTGTAGTGGTATATTTAGTGTATTATTGACATTTGTGAGGGATATTTTCTAAGAGTAGCACCCTCATTTTATTAGACTTCACTTTTATCATCAGGATATTATGTTTAATGGTTATCATGTTTAATTTTCTTTTAAGAGTCTTTAAAAAAAACCATGAAAGTCACTGCATTAGAACATATTAGGGTATTAGTCCATGAAGTTGACTCCTTCTTGGGATAGGGACACACTTGATATTATAATCTCAGAAAGCTTATGACTTAAATGAAGATTTCAGAAAACAAATCACCATAAGTAATCAACTATTAGAGTTGAAAAGTGAGAAATGTTTCTGGACCTGAAAGGGAGAATGTTAAATTCACAAATGTTAAATTTTTGAGTACAAAATGCTATCCTGTCACTCATCTCTATTATTATGGCATATGTGAAAGAATTTTGATGGAGAAGTCAGGAAGAAGTTCATGTAAGAAATTGTTATAAAATACTGCACATTGGATTTGCAGCTTTTTGGGTATAACGGTTGATTCCTAACTTGTCATAAATTCATAAATATTCTGAACCTTAGATTCTTTTGCTTTCATAAGGGTTGGTAATTCTCATTCCTAAATGCAGAGGATGGAACAAATGTCTTTACAAATGTGAATGCCACCCAGTAAACCAAGGTGTTATATCATTCACTTAGGGATCACATGTCTTAAATATGATGGAAAGTACCAACAAATTGAAATGGACATTATGTAAAGAGTTTAACTTACCTCTTTTACAAACCACTGACAAAAGGCAGGACCAACCCACTCTCTTGCATGTATACCACAGTCTATCCAGACAGCTCTTTTGTAAGATCGTGATCTGCCCAGCTAAAGATAAGAGTATTTATAATAACCAACACAGGTTCTCTGTTTCTGAATTCATGACAAGTGTACTTTAGTAAGGTATTAGCATAATTATTCACTATGGAACCCCATACAAAATTTCCTATTTATTTTAGAAGTCCATCTTACTCATACAAAAAATAAATTACCCTCATTAAAAGTCAATGAACTGGAAAATACCTACAGAGAACGTGTGCCTATTATAGCTAAATCTCCCCACATCTACCCCATACCAAGGAAACAAATATTTCTTAAATAAACAGCTATGTTTTATAGGGAAAGTCAAATCTTATTTGAACACAAAATGGAACAATACAATTTGTAGGAGCTGGTGACAGATTTTTCCTTACCTTCCTATTCTTGTAAGCTATAGGTAGTTCTTGACATTCTATTCACAAGGGATCTAATTATCATTTCTTCATTATCTCATTCAACTAATACTATATAAAATTCTTTTTAGTGTTAGACATTGTATTTGGCAGTGGAGATTCAATGTTCAAAAGACTTTTTTTAAAAAGATTTATTTATGCATACAGAACTGGGTTACAGGCCAGAGGTACAGGGGTGGTGAGAGGATTCACCAAAGACAGAGTGGGGAGCAGAACAGGCAGATCAACAAAGTATACTGCTGAGAGGAGCAGCAGGTGAGACAGGAGAGGTCTGCTGTGCCATGTGGGTTATCCCCAGCAGGGGATTGAACTCACACTGAAGTGGCTGTTGGTAGCTTTGCTTTAACCACCAGGGAGGGCCATGAAAAGACATTTCGATGCTAGTGAGGAGGCAGGCATGTGAGTAGTCAATCACAATAATGCACACTTATATAAACTACTCTGGGTACAAGGGATGCTGTGCCTAATTTTCCTGGGAAATAAAAGATTTCAAAGAGCATTATGGGTAGTAGGCATCTCTGGGTTGGAAGAGAATCTGAACATATCATATGAGAAGTGGCTTCTGAGCTATAAGCAAAGAATGATAGGTGAAATGAAACTGGATACAGAGGCAGAGAACAAACAGTGGATGTTACATGAAGGAGATAAGGCTTCATCTCATATTCCATGGGAGGTTTCTATGTGAACAAGAGAGAGAAAGCATATGAGTTCACACTGACGAGGGAGAATTAAAGATGAGGATGGGGACTTGAAGTTTGGTACTGAGCCAATTATTGCAATAATCTGAGAAGAATAGATTCAGATCTAAATTAGGGCAGTGGGGATAAAAGATTGGGATAGATCCAAAAGATATTTAGGAAAAGAATTATCAGCGCTTTGTTGTAGATTTAAAATAAATGGGTAAACTAAGGAGAAGAATTTAGGAAGATGCTCCTCTCTCTGGACTGGCTGCATTCTGCCCTCAAGGTGCTTTTATAGATACCCAGATAAGAATAAAAAGCAGGTAATGAAGGCACATTTAAAGCTCAGAAAGTGGGCTCTACTGAATAGAAAAGACTATAATGATTGTTATTTATCTATATCTATCAAGAGTTATTAGAGGGAGAGTAGTGTTGAGAAGGTCATAGATTGAGCAGAATCTAAGGAAAGGCAAGGGTCTAGGGGCCTGTGACTGAGATCTGAGGTAATGTTGAGAGAGAAAAAGGAGAAGCACTTGAAGTTATTGTTGATCTTGGCAAGAATAGTTTAAGAGGGGTCAACTTTATTGTTTCAGCAGGATCTATGCCTCCCCATATATTGGATAAATAAGGTGGGGGGGGGAGAGGAAGGGCAGAAAACAGTATGTCAAGGTCTGAATGGGAAATGAGAATAAAGACAATGAGTACAGATTAAATCCTTTTAGATGTTTGGCTTCAAAGCTATGGAGAACTATTGTTTAGTAGCTAGATTGGTTTATCTTAGGCAGCAGCAACTCAACCAATGTTAATGTTTTTAAAAAGTGGATCAAAAAATTTGAATGTAAGAAATAGTCTTCTTTTGAATACTCAAAGGCAAATTTTAATATGGCTTAACTTTTCCTCCTTGTAATTATTAGATGTTAAAATGTCCAAGATATTATGAAAAACTACTTCCTCTACTTCCTCTTGTTAAGATGAACATCTAAGCAAATATTTAATAATTTTTATTTTTACCTTTAGAACAAAAAGAGATCTTCCTTCATATGATTTTCCAATAGAAAACATGTGAATGAAGCCTGTATAACTTTTATTCAGATGATGCATCCAATTCTGAATCTAAGGGTAAAAAAGTATAAACCGTGTCGGACACATAACTATGGAACTTTTAGAACAGAAAAGTTAAAAACAAAACTAAGTCTCAGAACTCAGAGTATACATGGAGTATAAAAATAAGTTAAAAAGCCCCAATTTTCTTGTTTTTAAAAAATATTTATGCATACAGAACTGGGGTATAGACCAGAGGTGTGAGAGGATTCACTAGAAACAGAGTGGGCAGCAGAACAGGCGAATGTACTGAAATACACCGCTGAGGGGAGCAATGGGCAGGTCAGCTCCCTGGCTGGGGGTTGAACTTGTGCTGTAGTGGCTGCATAACTTCATAGTGCTGTGCTTTGATCCACTGTGCCACCAGGGAGTGCTTTCCCCCCACCAAAATAAAAAAAATTCCCAATTTTCTATTTTTAATTCTTTAGAATTTTAAAATATTTTATTTTCTATTTTTACAAATCTCCATGTCTTTGTTTTTCCCTCTTTAAAGAATGCCATTTATTGTCATTATTAATATGTTGATGACAGAACTTTACAGATAATGTGTTCTGGGTTCTTTTTGAATATCAAAACTTATTTCCATCTCTCCCCAAATATGTAAGAGGGGAAAAACAGTCAATTTCAAGAGAGCCATCCAAACTACTTGAAAGTATTCATTAAGTTCCCACATATTGTAATGTGCCACTGAGCAGAAGATGCTAACTAAGGAAGACATCTTTTGCATTCAAAGGTTATTCTACTAAAGCACACATTAGAGAGCATACTCTGCATAAATTCTTCAGTAATAGTGTACATTTGCATTGATACATTCACACACACTTATCTGTCATCAGGAGAAGATATATTTGCAATGGATAAAGATGGCACTTAGAAAGCTAGGTGATAGTTTTGACTTAAAAGCCCTCTAATTGTAAGGAAGTCACACAAAAGTATTCCACTGTTCCATGCTGTGAAGGAGTTTGTGCTGAAAAAGTGAATTTTGGGACATATTCCTATTTTCTTTTCTATTATTTAGCCTTATGAGCAGGATACATATATATCTATGTACATAAATAATTTTTAAAAATAGACTTGTTAATAATGCTTCCATGTAAAACATTAATTCTCCTCCCCCTGCCCCATTTTTGTTTATTAAGGCAAAGTATGTTTACATCTTTGTCTCTGCACCAGGGCAGGTTTCAAAGTTCACTCTTCTTGTCAACTAAGTCATTTCCCTTGAACTCTGACTAACCATACTTTGTGACTTTTTAGTGAAGTTTCTTAGACTTGTAGAAGTGAAAGAAACCTTAACTTACTTTTCCATCGCACTTCCCCACTGCCCTTACCATGTTCATTGTAGGAGTTGAATAGAGCAGGTGAAATTCAAATTATTTTGCTCTATCTTCTATGGCAATAAAAAGCTTAATGGAAGAGGTGACTGAACAGGAATGTCTAGGCATATGAGCTGTATGTACTCTTCAGATAGCCCTCATCAGTCTTTGTGTTTCTCCTAGTCCTTAGATCAAAATAAAATTGCATTTGTAAAGGAAAAAAATACATACTTCTTCTAAGGAGTGATAAACTTCATAATTATATTCAATGAGTGATCTTCGACTTCTCTGGGTTTGCAAACTGCTCCCCTTTTCCAGTGCTTCTTGCAGATCATCTATGAGTATCCTGGATTTGAAATGATAGAAAATTAGGTAATTATACAGCTACAAAAAGTACAATGAAAACTGACATTTCTAAAAATACTAAAATGTTGGGAAGATATTTTTTTAGGAAATAAAAGCTTAGATAAATGTAATAAATATAAAATGTAAAATTATAACCAGATGTTCCCAAGTGGTATTATAACTACCATTGATTGAGCAGTTATAGGACGGGCAGGAACCTTTATATAGATTGAGTAAACTACCAGGTACTAGGCATTGTACTGTTTTTCTCACTTTTTTTTTTTTTAGGATTTTCTGGTTTGTTTTTTTTTTTTAAGATTTATTATTTATGCATTCAAAACTGGGGTACAGGCCAGAGTTACAGCGGCAGTGAGAGGCTTCACCAGAGACAGAGTGGGGAACAGAACAGGCAGATCGACGAAATACTCTGCTGACCCGAGCAGCCGCGGGTCAGGAGAGGTCTGCCGCGCCATGTGGTCACCTCCTGGTCGGGGATTGAATTTGCACTGAAGCGGCTGCTGATGCTGCGTCTTTAGCTGTTGCACCACCAGGGAGGGCCACATATGCTTTTTTTGTTGTTGTTAAATTTTTGCTTATTAACCATGAAATAGAGTTGTTATCTCCATTTTACAAATAGAGAAACTGAGGGTCAAGAGAGTTAAGCATGCCGGTGTTACTCTGCTGGTGGTCTAGAGCCAGAATTTGAATTAAGAATGTGAACCCAAATTTCAATCTTTTGACCCCAGGCCCAGTATAACATTTTGAAAACTGGAAACAAGACTCTATGGTTACTTTATCTTTTCCTGTTGCTTCTATCTGTCCCCATCCCTTTCATCATTGGGAAACTTTCCTCTTTACCCAGCGCATCTGACCTGAGAGGAAGGAGGTAAGAAATTAGTCTTCAAGGAAACTGACAATCAAAATAAAAACTCAGTGTTACCAAAGGCATTTTCACTGCCTGCCAGTATTAAGAATACCAAGAGTAGATAAACTTAAGGTGAATGAATTTGGAAATCCAAGGCTGAGGTTAGCGTGACTAATGCTTGGAACCAGCTCTAGCTGGAGTCATTAGCTTAGTTTTAATTTTTAATGCAGTGCTATTGTTGATAGCCTTGTTAATTTCTTGAGAATAGAAGATTTCTCCCCTAAGGGTTGGCCATGCCAGCTGTCCCAGCACTAAAACACCACTAGTCCACATGATCTATGGTCGATTTTCATCATCAGACCCTTTCTTTGGTTTCTCAGTGTTCTTATTGAGACATATGAGCTACATAAAAAGGCTTGTCTTCTCAACAATCACCAGTCTCCTCTAACAGGAATGCTGTGAAGTATCAAGAAGCTCACTCTTTGGAATATTTAAAGATGTTAAAAAGCCCCCCAATTTTTTTTTCTGAGTCTGTCACACAGCTAAAAATTTTGCTTGCATATTTTATCTTCCTAAAGAATTTTACAGTATTGTCAGTGAAGGTCTTAATCAAACAGACCTGGACATCTGTGTCTAAATTTCCTGTGTAGAGTGAGAATGTGGAATGGTCAAGGAAGCTATGAATTTGATTAAGGTTGAGGTGGTTTTAAAATGTCAACACCTTCCAGTCACTGAGGGGAATCTTGAGATATACCTCCCCACCTTGCCCACATCATCTATCCATTTCTATTGTCTTCATTTCTCTAACTGAAGAAACTAGATTTGCCAATGCCAGAAATCAAAAGTCTTCTTCTGAAATCCCAGTTGAAACATAAAAAATACATCCATGGCCCTCCCTCATGGCACAATGGGTTAGGATGCAGCACTGCAGGCTAGCCACAGCTACTTCAGTTTGAGTTCGATCCCCGGCCCCAGAGGTGATCCACAGGGAGTGGCAGACCTCTCCTGAATCACCGGCTGCTCCCCTCAGCATATATTTCATATATCTACCTGTTCTGCTCCCCGCTCTGTCTCTGGTGAAGCTTCTCACCACCCTTGCAACTCTGGCTTGTACCCCAGTTCTGTATGCATAAACAAATAGAGCTTAAAAAAAAAAGTGAGATAAAATGATTTTAAAAAAGCATACATACAAAAATAAAATGCTTAGGATGTTTACAAAACTGATGTTTTTGCAATACTTGTAAAATGGACAGATTTTCCAAATATAAATAAGTGCAGATAACTTATTTTCACTTAAGGTAAAAGCAATTTCTCTGATTCATTGCTTGGGTTGCCACTTCTTGGTATAAAAGCCATTGTTCCATTTGAAAAGGTAACATTTTCCCAAGAGCTTCACTAAGAAAAGTTATTTATGCTTCTTAGTTGATTAAATTTTTGTCATTTGTCAACTGATATGAATACTTGTACTACATATGAATACTTGTTACTACATATAAAATGCTCAAAAATTGTCTAAATATTCTAATAGAGAATGGCTCACGCAAAAATTTTGTCTTAATTTGTTTTGTCAACTTTATTATTTTCTTACTTCAATGAAAACACTAACAAAGTTTCAGTTTGATGTTGAGAGCAATCATAGTAAGTTATTAACTCCTTTGATAAATACACACTTAAGCTTCTCTGTTTTGTTTTAAAGTTTCCCCATACTCTAAAAAGAGCTAGTCTTTGGATTCCTAATGTTTTATCCATTCATTTAGATCAGTGATTCTCAAGTTGGGTAGTTTCAGAACTCACATTGGATCCTATTACATAACAATAGAATGTAAATAAGGTATGTGTCTGGTTTAAAAGCACATCAGATAATTTTTAACATTTTCAGGCTTAAGAACTTTAATTTAGGTTAGTAATTTGCAAAACAGTAATTTAGGCTAATTAAAATTTGGAGACTCACTGCTCGCAGTCCTCTAGTTTTCATTTTAAATAATTTTTTATAAGATTTATGCATATAAGAACTGGGGTATAGGCTGGAGTGGAGGAGGCAAGAGGATTCACCAGCAACAGAGTGGGGAGCAGAACGGGCAGATCTACTGAAATACACTGCTGAGGGGGGCAGCGGGCAAGACAGCAGAGATTGTGCCATGTGGGTCAGCTCCCTAGCCAGGGATGGAACTCACGCTGTAGTGGCTGGCAATAGCTTGACAATGCTGTGTCTCTAGCCCCCATTCCACCAGGGAGGCCCCTAAGTAAATAGTTGTGTTCTTATGGTCTATTTAAAAATAATCTTGCTCCCTTTTTCCTCTTTTGAGTGTCTGTGCTGGACATGGTCAACTCTTTGTGGCATTTATTATCCTTCCTTCTTGGATTTGCTGTACTGCAAAGGTGGTAGACTTGCTTGCACCTGGGGTTCTGGGCACAAAGTTGTGATCTCTGACACCACTGTTGTAGCCTCAGAGATGTGGTTGTGGCCTGGACTTGGTCCAGCATCTAGCTACCCACTTCATGGTGTGAGCAGAGTGGTAGTGGCAGCAGTAGCAGCCTCCTGACCTATGGATTGTCACATGAAGGAGAAGCAAACTTCTATTTTATAGACTGAATTGTGTCCTCCAAACTTATATGTGTATCAACCTCTGGCTCCTCAAAATGTGGTTGTGTTAGGAGTAATTAAGAAGGCCCTAGGATGGGCCCTAATTCAACATGACTGGTATAAAGGGCAAGTAAAGGGCAAATGAGCTGTTTGGGTAGATGAAAAATTTCTAGAAATAGATGGTGCCCATGGTTGCACAGCAATGTGAATGTGCTTCAGGCTGCATGTTCTGTATTTTAAAAAAGGGAAAAACGAGGACACCAAGATAGAGGACACATACAGGATAAACAGTAGGAGGAGACAGTGAGCAGATGGCCATATACAAACCAGGAGAGATGCTGGAAGTCCTTTCCTCACAACCCTCAAACAACTAACACTACCGACAGCTTGATTTCAGACTTCTAGTCTCCAGTATCAGGAGATGACACATGCTTGTTTTTCAAACCAACAAATCTATGGTCCTTTGTTCTAGTAGCCCTAGTTGAGTGATTCAAGGGCCTGACCAGTGAAAGACTCTACCTAATACAAGCCCTAACAAAACAATCTGAATATCAAGGTAATCGTGATGGGCAGGTCTAGTCCTATTATCCTTGTAAGTAGTTCAGTTGAAATCAGCAGACTGATAAGAGCATGAAATAATAAAATGGTTTTCATGACCATTCTGTTTTCTTAGCTTTGTATAATAGCTGATGATTTCTCCTATCCCAAACTGTGTACTCTTCCCTTCCCATAATAGTGACTAAAACTACTAAGAATTTTTGCGGGTGGTGTCATCACTTGTTATAAAACCATGTCCCCAAAACTTCCAGGATGGGTAAGAGAGCCTCAAACTTTGAAATTACTTTGTCTGTTTTTTCATTGATAAAATGATAGAAATTTTCTTGAAACACCACCTCATTTGTTATGTCATTGGGAGAGGTTGATCACTTCTAGAGGCTTACTTGTCCTAGATGTTAGCTTCCTGTAAGAAGGCTAACAGGATCCAGGAACCATTTTTGGGAATATGGACATTTGTAACTGTTCCCTCTGATACCTGTAGTGCAGGAACCAACCTATAATTCATATTCAAGATACATGATGTCTTTGCTTGAAGATGACTATATTATGTATAGTTGTATAGAATGAGTAATAATCTTTTGAAAATACATAAGGCTATAATAATAAAATCAGTTAAAATGATCTCTACCTATGGCCCCATGGAATTTAATCGACTCTTATGTGTTATCATCTCGGGAGCAGCAAAATGAATAATACTAAGTGCTTGTTCCCCATGAGAAGACACTGATTTAAAACACATTTTTTTTTTGAGATTCTGTCCTCTGTGATATTTTTTCTATCAGCTTCACATGACCTATATTTAATGACAGAAAAGAGACTTGTTAAAATAACTGATATATTCTTTTTTCACTGAATAATTACAAATGAAGCATGTGTGTGATTGCTTGGCACCTAGTGGTATAATTGCCAAGCTCTTCCCTGCCAGGCATTCAGAGAATGAAAGCATGCCTTCAAAGCTACAGTAATGACTAAAATGTGTCCAACATGAACAATAACTTATGCACAGCTGTGTGTCTATTCTGGAAGCACAGACAAAAAGACTTTTCTCCAAAATGCATATCTATACTTTTATAAGGCTGCAAGGATCTCTTTGGCGGGGCGGTATTTCTGGGGATGAGGCATGCTACCACCACACTGTACACCTTAGCACAGAAACAAGGGCCTTCAGACACCATTAGAGTTCTTTGTGCCAGTTTTGTCAGCACAAGAACTTGCTAAAATGTTGGTGGTAGTCGAGGTTAATCATTTACAACCATTCCCCTCAGTCCTAAAATTTTAGGACTCCAAAGAGAAGGTGAGATACTCTTGTCTATCTCATTCTTTGTGGCTTTCCTACAATTTAATCTTGTCAGCTCTTAAGGAGATTCAAGACACTTGATGTGATGGCTTTCCAGGGCCTGTGCCCACACATTCTTGACCATATTCATATCAGTGATCTCTATTTCACTTCAGTCAGCAACTTCATGGCTATCATTCTGTTTAATTTAGTATAAGCAAATTAAACAAGTAAAAAAGAATGCTTACTTGTACTGGATGTTGGCTTCCTGTAAGAAGGCTAACAGGATCCAGGAACAATTTTGGGGAATATGGACATCCGTAACTGTTCCCTCTGACACATGGGAGATACTGCTGGGCTGCCACAGGTCTACCTGTAGTGCAGGAACCAACCTATAATTCGTATTCAATGTAGGTGGAGAAAGATTCATGTCACAATGTCAATGCATCATCTTATTTATATACAGTAACATGAAACACACTTTGAAATTAGACTGAAAGCTTGCATAATAAATCTATTTGATTTTGGATTTTGTGTCCAGTTGATATATCCATAGTAAAAAGAAGAGATAAAATAGGTTAAAGAATGTCTTCGATATTTTCTTAAAATGATTGTACAAATATTTAAATATTTTTGTTAGGCATTTACATGTCTATATAATTTTGAGGTAACATTTTTACTCCTCCGTATGAACACAAGCTTCACTTACCCTCCCTTGTACTATATTTCATTCCTTTCTCCCCAGTAACCAGTGTATTTCTCTCAAAGTCTAAGAACTGCTTTTGCTGTGCTTTGCCAGTGTACTTTTTTGCTATTTATAGTCAGTTCATACCCAATCTGACTTTTACTTTTTGACTTAGGTTCATTCACTTTACCCCAAAAGGCACTATTTAAACATTTAAATACCTGAGTGCTATATCATAGTCCATAATTTATTCAGTCACCTAGCGTTGGGCACTTAGGTTGGTTGGTTCAGTGACATGGGAGTACGTACATAAACCTTTTCATCTTGGTATTTTCATTATTCTTTGAGCAAGCGGAAGTGTTTCTTCGTTACATGAGGTTTCCATTTTTTAAAGACATCTCCATACCTTTTTCCATAGAGGCTGTACCAAATTGCATTTCTACCAAAAGTAGATGAGTGTTCCTTTTACTCTGCATCCGTGAGAAAGATAAATGCCCCTCTTTCCTACTATATGAGCACATTGTGGCAGCTTGACAACCTTTTGGTGACTATAAATAGAACACTCTCCAGGTTTCTCCTCCCTACTCATTCTTTACATGTCACAGAAACATTCCTTCTCAGGGCATACTTATCAGCCAGCATAGGCTCCTTATTATATTCTTAGCCTGGCAAATGCCTTTTTCATTATGTAACTTCCTTTTACCAAAATACAAGCTACCATTCCATCCCATGTGCTCAAAACAGTGCCTTGTTCATATCAGCAACTCGGTCATTATTTGTCATGAGTGAAGACCCTAGAGTCATTCACGATGTGGTCCCCAATTCAAAGCACCTGCTCCATGCTTTTCGGGAAAACAGGAATAATGATGCTTGGCTTATTATAGTTTGCCCAGTGCCTTCTCAATTATTCTCTATCTGGTAATCACTCTGTATTCATGGAAAAAATGACCAAACTCAGCTGGGAAGGAGGAAAGCTTGATCTTTCACAAAATCCTAGAGCTTCCTTTCCTTTCTCCCTTCCCCCATTGTCCCGTTCTGTCCTACTTATTAATGCATACAGAACTGGGGTGTATGGATGTGGAGAGGATTCACCACAGAGTGGGGAGCAGAACAGGCAGATCGATGAAGTACACAGCTGAGGGGAGCAGCGGACAGGTCAGTAGAGGTCTGCTGCGCCAAGTGGATCACCTTTGGGGCAGGGATTGAACTCTCACTGAAAGGGCTGGCTCACTTGCAGTGCTGCACTTTCGCTCGCAGCGCCACTGGGGAGGGCCGTAGAGCCACATGTTCTATTAAGCACAGTTTAATTTTACAGTCTGTCTTCTGTCTGGGACTCTTCAATTTTTTTTGTCTTGATCTCTGCTAAGCCCTGAGTAGGTTTAGTTACTGTATCTCCAATTAGGTGCCAGTGGTTGGTTTCTTTCAGGGAACTTTAGAAGACCAAAAATATTTGTGACGGAATCCCTCATCTATGATACAAGCAAGTTTCTCTCACTAAGTTACAAGGGCAAACCTGATCTAGCTAACATGCTAGCCCAACAATAAGAAAAACAGAAGTCTGGGGCTGGAAGGAATACTGAGAGGTCATTTGATCCATCTGTCAGCCCTTGGGCAAGGATACATCTAGATTGAACCAAACTGTCCCCAATAGAAGCATCTTTTAGATATCCAAAGGAGGTAACTTGACAACATCCTAATGTAGTTTATAATCACAGTTAGCAACAATGTCAAGTATTTTTCTTAATTCCTTATATCTGTAACAGTTTCATCTTTTGCTTGTTGCATTCTGTGGTGATGATGGCTTATTTCTTATCTTTTGACCATAAAGCAACTTGATATCTTTTGCTTATCTTTTATATGCTAGACTTTATACCTTTCATTATTTTGGGGACTTATCTTTAAATCCATTATAGGATAGATTTTAGATATTAAGGTTTGCTGCCATCCCTTAAAATCATTGGGGATGAGGAGATTGTGCTATATTTAGAGGGGAAGAGAGACACAGGAACCTAAAATAATATGAACTACCACTGGAGATTAGTGTGTAACTGCTACTTTCTGGGATACATGCTAAATTAAGAATTTCATTCCATAGAAAATAGTACTGCTCCATAGGAAAGTTCATACCCCGTAGCATGACCTAGAGGAGACTTCTTAGGAAATTAATGTTATCAGAAAGCACTATGTCTGAAGGAAACCACAAAGAAAGAATTAGCAAAATCAGGAACTAGATGTAGTTGTGATATTAGGAAAATAAAATAATCTTTGACTTTCATTAGTAATACTTTGGAGAAAGGTTGCTTGGGTAAGTAACATGAACATGTCCATGTGAGTAGCGGGCAAATATCTATAGCAAGATATAGGGAGCAGTTACATGAGATTTGTAGAATGCTACCATTTTATAGACATTCTAATCTTTTAAACAATACTAGGAGTAAATTATAGACAGAGGTGAAGTCATTTCACTAAGTCACAGTTAAAAAAATAGTGACAGTGCCCCTAATTTTTAGAAGTAATTTCCAGTTTCCTGACTTACATTTTGATGGGATCTGGCTAGTGGGTCTCACAGTATGATGATTTTTCTTGGGCATTTCTGACTCCAAATAATACACAGGTATGCTCAAGTTCTAGTCAGCCTACACCATCAATCATTTCCTTAGGTCCTCATCACAGCTGAAGTGATAAAAAAAACTCTGAAATGAAAAGCTGGATGACCCTGGATAATGACAATAGTCTCAGCAATCTTTTTAGGACAGTCTAAGATTATTTACCAAACATCCCAGGTCTTTGCTACATAGCAAAAGGATATTTTAAGGAAAGGATATTCCTTTGAATATCCTTGAGGAATCTTCTAGTCTTAGAACCTGCTGTTTTCTATGTGTTCTTTGTCTTATGTGACTATCAGTCACATTTAGTCAGATATATTTAAGAGGAAGAGCCTATCTAAAGTTTAAGAATATGCTCTTTGAAATCTGAAATGCTAGCTGTGACAGCATTGGCTGTGTGACTTTGAGGTATTTTAATATTTCTGAGCTTCAGAATCATCATCTGTATTGTACAGATAACTAAAAGAAAACAGTCTAGCACATAATAAAAGTTCAAAAATGTTAGCTATTATTTGAAAAACATGAAACCTGGGAAGATAAAATTCTACTTCATTTCTGTTTAAGATGGTGTAAAGGTGGGGGAAGGAGAGCAATAAAGACTATGAACATAGCTAGCTAGCACACAGGGAAATAGCTAAACTAAGCCACTGTCATTTTGGAGGCCATAATTAAATCTACTAAATTGTCATGTTTTTGTCATTTTCTCATGAGAATAGAAAGGGTGACATTTTTTTTTATTCTTATGTGCCCTGTACTTAGACCAGACCCATGCATGATATAAAATAGTGATGAAGTAATTTAGAACATTGAATAAATGAAACTGCACATTTTAACTCTTTCTTGTTTCTTCAAATAATCTCCTTTTTCCAGCACTGCTCCAGAATGATCTTAGATCCCTGCTTCTTGTTAAGGTGTTTTACTTGAATTTTGACATAAGTGGAACAAATGGACAAAAGTCTCTAATTTTGAATTTTTCTTACATTTATACATAATCTTAGACTATACTGCTTCTTAGGCCATGGAACTGCATCCTTTTCTAATGGTAGTGGACACTCCAGGTACAGGAATGCTTCTTTATCCTGGCTTTACTTTTATGATTTCTCAAAACTTCAATTATCAGTTAGCTACTGGATGGGAAACTTGGCTACAGGGTATGGTCTCCTATAAACTACAAGCGTTTGGTTAGCTATTAAAATTCTGGGAGTAATTTCACCTCGCCCTTATCTTCCCTCTAAGACCAGAGGATGTTGTAAATTGGCGCTTTTCTAAAGCATACAGCCTCCTCAAAGTTGGCTGTTTCACCCTTAAATAAATAGATTACAATAATAAAAATTATGGGCTCAATAGTAGAATAAAATTAGGTCAGTTCATTGCTTAAAATGAAAATTTTAATGCAATAGAAATGAATACTACTAATTGAACAACTGAGCCATTAATAAAGCATTATTCGCAGGACATTAGGTAAAAGTAGGAAGGCCTGGTCAAACTTTGTTTTGGTGTCCAAGTTCTCTCTCTGTTTCTCTTAGGATGAATACTGATTGTCATAATCTGATGGTTTTTCCTGAACTATTAATTTATATATTCAGTGAGGGCCAGTGATACAAAGGATAACATGTCTGCCTAAGAGTCAAAGGAATCTAACGTGTATATTCACCAGTCTGAATTATCAACACCCCCAATCAGACTTCCCGGTAATATAGGTAGTATATAAAAATACTGGATAGTTGTAGCAAGAGGAAATCTCAGTAAGAGGTGTTAGAAATTTTTTCTAAGATTTGAACTTCTATGAAAGTTGTGAACATTTGAATACTTCAGAGAGGCTTCCGATTCCTATATTGAGTTAGCATTTAGCTTGACTTTGTAAAGTCAAAAGAGATTTTCCTTTATTTATGATTTTAATATTGCTGACTTCTTAATAGTATGTAAAAATTATGGCTTTTCTATGGGGTTAAAACTTAATGAATAACACTTCAGATTTTGTTAGTATATTAATCAAAGATAAGTTTTGGTGATTTTTTTGGTTTAGTGAAACAAATTCCCAGCTTAGTTTCTTGCTAAACCTGAATGTTCTATGACACATTT